AAAAAAAAAAAAAAAAAAAAAAAAAAAAAAAAAAAAAAGCTAGTCCCAACCTGGTAAATTGATCTTTTGGCCCTCTAATGAATTTAGACTAAAGTTTAAAAGAAAAACACTGCCTTCGAGTGTAGCCTTTTTGGCTACATGACTAAGGAGGGAAACCAAAGTGAAATTGAGCTTTCTTGATGATGAGGAGAGCAGCGAGTCTGCAGCACTGATCCTCAGAGTGTGAGCACGGAGGTGAGGGAGGAAAGAATCACAGCAAGGTGCTTGGAGAAAATGGCAGCTTTGTTCTTCAGGCTTAGAAAACGCAGCTGCGCTTCTCACTGGGGTGGTGTAATGTTTTGGGAAAGACAGCTTTGAAGTCAGGCCAGTCTGGGTTAAAATCCCAGCTCCTTAGCAAACTGTAGTTACTTAACCTTTTTGAACTTCAGATTTCTTAGGTGAATCTATGATATTGACATTGGGTGTGACTTAATGGTGAAGCGGTCTGCAGCATATCAGTACTCAAGTTTTATATTTCTCCTGGTAGCCCACAAATCATCACAAGTCATTTTTATTTATTTTTGTAGCATCTTCTTGATGTAGCTGAGGAGGGGATGCTATCTCCCTATGTTACACTGATCAGTAAGACATAGTACAAAGAGTCATGGTTATCTACAGTCGATATGAATCCAAATCTTCTGACCAAACCAACTTCTTTCTGCCACATCAAGGGCGGGACCCCAAGACTTCAGTTACTGAGAAACACCCAAGCTACAGCGTATAGTTGTGCAGGTTTTGTACTGTTCAGCTGGGGGGTGGGGGCGGGGGGACCAATATATTTCATACAATGGAGGTTACCTTGAGTCTGGTCTGCACAGGTGGGTTAGCAGTGGTGCTGACCTAAGGCAGCCATGCTACTGCATTCCCTCCAGGTCTCTTTTTCCTTCCCCGTAGTCTACTGCTTGCTAGGGCCTCATCTGCGTGGGGCCATACACCAGCCCCGAGAGGTATCCGAAGGGGAAGCTTTAGTCTGCACTTTCATGGTATTCAGGAGGATGCACACACAGATATAAGTACAGGTCCAATTTGTCATGACCATAAAGTCTATTTTTTTTTTTCCTTTTTGTCTTTTATCGTGACCAGCAACGGATCGCAACCCTCAGTGTTGCGCCCGTACCGGACCGGGACCGGCAACGGGATCGCAACCCTCGGCGTTGCGCCCGCACCTCGCTCAGCCAGTGAGCAGCCGGTCTGTATGTGGGATCCGAACCCTCCGCAGGAGCGCTGCCGCGCTCCCAAGCGGCGCACTGTAGCAGTGCGCCACCGGGCCGGCCCATAAAGTCTATTTTTTAAAAAGTATGGGCACAGGGCTGACCCGTGGCTCACTAGGGAGAGCGTCCTGCTGACAACACCAAGTCAAGGGTTAAGATCCCCTTACCAGTCATCTTTAAAAAAAAAAAAAAAGTATGGGCACAATGAATTGATACTAATAGCAAATGCTGCATGCAGAAGGAGAGGAATCAGGAATAGGAAATGGGATTGGGGAGAGCTGAGAGCTGTAGAAGGCTTTGTGGAGAAGTGGGTTAGGGTGGGCTAGATTGTGGAATCCTTTAAATGGCTGTTGTACAAATTTATATCTACGGATATAAATCTAGATATAGAATTTATGCAAACAGATGTAAATTTAGGTGACATGTAGAGGCCTGTGGAGTGGCACTTTGCTGTCATTAAAATTCATGTATAGAATATTCTTTTCCTCAGGAACCCTTGGAGTCATTTGGAGGTATCAACTTTTCCTAGTCCTCTTACATTTTAAAGCACCCTGTTGTCTAGCACACCTAATACATTGCACTTATTTTTGATAGTCTTGGTGACTTCAGACTAAGGCCTGGACAGAATATAAATGAATTTTAAGTGGAATGATTTGCTTTCAGTAAAAAGCTTTCAGGACTGTTCCTTTTATTAGCCAGCAGGTGTCACCAGGGAGCCAGTCATTGGCTGACTGAGGAAAAGAGGTTTTTATACTTATTTCCCTTTATTTTTTCTGATTACATGTTGGGCTCTTTGCTCAGCTTCCCCTTAAGCTGCTAGAAAGCCCTTCAGATAATTCATGGTATCCACAATTGCTAAAAGTGCCCTCATCCAAGATGTGTTACCCTTTAACTTTTCTGGACAGTAAACATCCCATACAAGTTATGTAGACCATACTTTCTTGGATACATTTTAAATGATCATATATGAATCATTTTGTTTACATTATAGTTTTTGAATCAGTGTTTTAATACTTTAATACTTCTGTATTACACACAATTAGTTACTAATTATTAATATGGCCATTAGAAGTGTATATTCATATAACTTTTCTGTAGTGATATAATTAGCCTTAAAAATGTGCATACATTTTGTTTTTTTGTTTGTTTGTTTGTTTGTTTTTAAAGATGACCAGTAAGGGGATCTTAACCCTTGATTTGGTGTTGTCAGCACCATGCTCTCCCAAGTGAGCTAACCGGCCATCCCTATATAGGGATCCAAACCCTTGGATTGATTTGGTGTTGTCAGCACCATGCTCTCCCAAGTGAGCTAACCGGCCATCCCTATATAGGGATCCAAACCCTTGGATTTGGTGTTATGAAGCACCACACTCTCCCAAGTGAGCCACGGGCTGGCCCCTTGATGTGCATACACTTTGAACTAATACTTTAGCTTTTAGAAATAATACCTTTAGGAAATAATCAGGAATGTGGATGTATTTATTAACAAAAAATATATTGAAGCATTGATTATTAAAAACAATTCAAGTGTCAACAGTAGAAAAGCTTATCCATATGATAGAATTAGATAGTCAAGTTTCCAAAGAACTTTTTAAATTTTTATTTTATTTTTATCTGACAGTTACATAGTTTAAAAAGTCAAATAGTAATAGGATGCTTATAATAAAAAAATCAGTTCCCCACCCCCTTCCTTCCCATTATCCATGTTCCCACCCCCCCGAGACAATTACTTTGAACTCTTTTAGCTATTTTTACTGGTATTTTATTGCACTATGTTATAGAATTTTAGGTGATTTTTTATTTTCTTTTTTATACTTCGGATATAAAAGTTTGTTTTGCTCCCAAATTTTCTACACTTTTATAATTGAGAGTTTTTTAAAATATGTAAAATGCAATCCATGGTTTTAAAGTTTTAGAACAATTTTAATGTATAAGTATTAGTCCAACAAATCAATTTTCTAAGACATCTTCCAACTTCTCAGCTGTTCTGATTTGTCAGTGTTTTATTATCTTCAAATAGAAGTAATTTTGAACTTTAGAAGTTTATAAAAATTAAAAAGTTTTTATTGTTCAATTGTAAAAATTATTTTTATTTTTCTGTATTTTCAAGTATCAAAGCCTCTCTGAATTACTCTTTCTCCCTTAAGGCAGAGAAAAAGTTGTAGAAGTGGATGGTATTTCTCCCCTTCCCATCATACTATAAACTCTGGCATATCTTCATTTGACAGTTTTTCTTACCTTTTCTTTGTTCTCTTGTATCTCACTGTAGATGAAGATCTAATAAAGTACGGCTGGCCTGAAGATATTTGGTAAGCAGCAATTGTGGCTCTGCATTTACTTTCTTAGACTTGCTAACCTCCGACTCTTTTGATTAAAACTAGAATTTGTGCTTTTTACTGCTTATGCATGTTCGATGGTAAATAGCTGCCAGCCTGTTCCCTTCCTTTGTGATGACCAGGTTATGTTGTGAATGATGTCATGGGATTTGATCTCAGGCCTGAGAGCTAAAGCCTCTGGAGCATAGGCCTTCTTTTACCTTCTGTTCGTTTCCCCATAGTAAGTTACTGAGACCAACCACAATCACATGTTCAGACCACTCTTCTTGAGTGGATGGCTGAGAACTCCACAAGAAGCAATGAAGAAAATAAGTACAAGGAAATGCTTGGAACCAGAAGCACATCGGATTTCAGATTTTTTTTTGCGTGTTGGAATATTTGCATTATTCACTTACTGGTTGAGCATTCCCACATCCGAAAATAAGAATCTGACATGCTCCAGTGAACGTTTCCTTTGAGTATCGTGTTGGTACTCAAAAAATTTTGGATTTTGGAGCATTTTGTCTTTTCAGATTTGAGATGCTCGACCTGTACAAACATCTGTGTGGATGGAATAGATGCAACATCTCACCAGATCCAGCTTCACAGGGAACACAGAAACTGGTTTCTCTTTGTCTTCTAAACTCTCTGATGAGTTTAGCCCTGTTATGGTCCAACCCTAGCACTTCTTTCTAAAATAACTTATGGAAACTGTTTAAATAGGATATGCTTTCTTAGCTTCCCTCTGAGATATTATTTATTTTGCTGCTCACAAAACCTAGTCCAAAAAATAGCAAAACAAACAAAAAGACTCCTTCATTTAAGCTGAATTCTTTTCTCTTTCTGTCTTAGAACACATGATGGCCTTTCTGTACCATTCAGACCCAGGACCTCTTAAGAGTGCGTGGGCTCTTGGTACTGTCTTTTTCTGTCTTGTGGCACTCCCACACTCAATTTGCTTTCTTTTTCCATGTTCAGCTTCCACTACTTGCTCTGACCCTAGTGATTTCTCTCTCCTGCCTGTTAAGTGGGTTGTTATCTCCCAATTTATACCCCTACCACATGCTGTCCCCAAAGATAAGCACTTAGATCCTATTTGCTTTAATAAGATAGTAATAATGAACACCTATTGAGCACTCAACTGAATGCCAAATACTATTAAAGCATTTATTTACCTCCATTAATACATTTAATTTCACAACAATGCTGTAAAATAGTTATTAATAGTGTGCCCATTTTTCAGATGCAGAAACTAAGGTTAAGACAAACTGAACAGTTCTACTCTGGTCATTATTGGATCCAGTTCTAGTTCTAAATCACTGCTGCTTTCTTCCCCCAGGCTGCTACGCTTTTGGTTTCAGGTCACTTCTTTCTTCTCTCAGACTGTTGCCACAGCTCTCTCTGGACCTCTGTTCTTCAAATGTGGGCACAGACCCTTCACTTAATTTTCTATAGCTATAGAGTTTAGGCTGCCACTTTTTAGAAGAGTTGGTTGAATTTGCAATAATTTATACAGCGTTGGGCATTTAGTAGGGGAAATATTACACGGAGAGTAAGTCAAGGAACCCCTAGATGTGATAGTGCTCAGAACACACAGGTTGATCTGTAGGAGCTCCCTCAAGGGGCCTCCTTTTGCTCCGGTCTACCCCATTATGAGGGGGCTGGTTCGTGACCGATGGAAATGTTCTCCTGTTTGTCTGCCCTCTCCAAAGTCCACACCCGGGAATCAAAAGGTGCCAGAAACGTGAGGAATTTAAAGGCTTTTTAAGTCTGGTTTCTATTCCAGCACAGTGGCCCGTCTTCTGAAGTCAAATATGTCATCAGGTTAGTTGTAAATAGAGAACTGGCTTAAAGCAAGTAACAGTTGGAGTGGGAGAAGTTACTTCTCAGTTGAGGTTGGTTACTAGCACAGTATAATGAAATATGTAATTTCTAGATTTGCAAAAAATGGGTTTTTTTTTTTTGCGGTGGGGGAAGAGCTCAGCTAAAGGTGAGCATTATTATGAATCTCACGTGGGAATGCAAATGAATGAATGAGCTTGGAGAAGCGTAAATCAAGTAAGATGTTATGTTCATTTCTGGTTATCAGTAATGATTAAGACTAAACCCTAGAGTCATTGTAAACTTCCAGAAATGCTTAATATTTTTCTGTATCCAAAGTGAATAGCAAGATGTTTAATCTCTTTAAAGAGGGCATTAGAAACAACCTAATTCTAACCTTTATATGGAATCATAGTGTCTACCTCTTGTATGAATGTGTAACCATTTTCACTTCTAAAAATCTAATACTAAGAAAATGACTAGAGAAATATATAATGGGATGTAATGATGCCTCTTTAGGGTTTTACTGAACGTTCTTTAGTCTGGAAAGGCAAGGACTAATGAAGCAATTTGACTAAAGTTAACAGAATCACAAAGTGACAGTCACGTGTTACTGTTCGTTTCTTGATGCTAAAATTCTGGGGTCTTCTCTGCTGTAAAGTGGGAAAGCTTGATTTGGTGAATTCTAAACATGAAAAATCTAATATCCCAAAATGTTGCATAAGTTTAAAAAGGAAGTAAGTTTTAAAAGATTAAATTGGTAGATGATAGAGCCTTAAAGAAAGGTAAATGTAAGATATTACGATCAGGAGGCAATTCTGAATGTTTTTCAGACAGTGTCATAAAGGGCATTGCTCACCCGGAGACATATATTAATGTCATTGTCATCTGGATGAATTGTTGGTCTGACCCATTTAATGATGAGTTCTGCTCAGTGTCTTTCGTTCTCACCCAACTCTTCCAACTCTTGTTCTTGGCATTCTCTTTGGCTTGCTTTCATATCACTTGAAACTCAGGATGTCCCAAACAAAACCCCATCTTTTTCACCAAACTGTGGTCCTGCAAGTCTTTCATGCTTCAGCATTGGAGTCTCGCTGCCTTCTTTCATTCCCTTCTCCTCTCCCCTGAAATCTCTTCCCTTGGTTTTGCTCTGAGTCCTGTGCTTCAGTCAGGGGCCAACCAAATCTCATTCTCCTGAGGCCTTTGGTCACTGATAACTCTTTTCTTCACTTGAAAAATCATCCTTCCCAAGGCATTTAATACTTATGATCTCTATGGCGCATCTTTCACTTAATTGCACACAGCTGCACAACTGTCAGTGTTTATCTTACCTTTTCAAGTTGATAGAGAGCCCTTTGGAGATGGTGACTGTGTTTTATTCTCTCCGTGGTGCTTAGCATGTGGTAGGCACTGAGCAAATCCTTTTTGGAGTGGAATCCTTTAAATGCAGGTGGCCTGAGGAGATGGTTGTACCCTTTGCTAAAAATGGTTTTCATTCTTTGTAGGTTTCATGTGGACAAACTCTCTTCGGCTCATGTGTACCTTCGATTACATAAGGTAACTGAATTTAAACATGGATTCATGACTTTTTCATCAGTGATGAGCTTCATATCTTGTTCTTTATTCTTTTTCTACAATTAAATTGCTTAAAATAATAAATATGTACAAAAGTCCAACGTTAGCAAATGAAGAGGTATCTCCTCCTGACCCAGAAAATTACTAAGGGACATTCTTGGTGATTTCTGAGACTTGGAAGGGGACATAGTACATATTTCCTGTCTCGAAACACTGCCTTGTCCTGCCAGTGCAGGTGTGTTGTCTGTCAACTCTGCTTTCGGTCCCTTTTGATTCTGTTGACAGTATTTGACTTTCTGTCTTCTCCAGTGAAGATCATGTGTGGTTTCTTTTTCTCAAGCTCATGTGATCCTCCTGCCTCACTGAGGGCAGATGTTCCTGGTTATCTGGGGCTTCTTCAAGTTTAGAACAGCATAATAGTAATAAAGGAAAAAAAGATTTAATGTTTCCTAGTTATATCAATATTTTTTCGGTCTGTCTTTATTCATATGTTAAATTTTGTATAGTTGAATCACAGAGTGTATTATGCTTGTTATGTGTATTGATTTTTTTGTTTTAATAAGCTTTTTACTTTAGAATAATTTTAGATTTATGGAAAAGTGCAAAGGTAGTACAGAGAGTTCCCACGTACCCCTCCTCTAGTTTCCTCTATCGTTAATGTCTTACATTACCATGGTAAATTTGTCAAAACAAAGAAACCAACCTTGGTACATTACTGTTAACTAAACTCTGGAGTTTATTTGGATTTCACCAGTTTTTCCATTAATATCCTCTTTCTGTTCCAGGATCCAGTCTGGGTACCATGTTGTATTTAGTGCCAGGTTTGCCCAGTTTCCTCTGGTCTCTGACGGTTTCTCATTCTTTCCCTATTTTTTACAACCATGACAGTTTGAAAAGTACCGATTAGATATTTTGTTGGATATCACTAAGTTTGGGTTTATATGATGTTTTTCTCATGACTAGACTGGGTTAGGGGTTTGGGGGAAGAATCCCACAGAGGTGAGGTGCCCTTCTCATCACATCCTATTCGGGTGTGTATGTTAACATGACATCACTGAGGACGTGAGCCTTGAGTGTCTGGCCAGGGGACTGGTTGCCAAGTTTTGCACTGAGAAGCAGCTTTTCTCCCCCTTTCCATACTTTGTTATTTGGGAGCAAGTCACTAGGTCCAGCCCATACTCAGAGGACAGGAGATAGAATTAAGCTCCACTTCCTGGGTTGGGGTGTGTCCACATGTATTAAATGGAATTCCTCTGGAAAGAAGATTTGTCTCTTCTCCCCCATTTACTTGTTCAGTCATTTATTTGCATCAGCGTGGACTCATGTATTTATACTTTGGGTTATATTCCAGTACTGTGTCATTTTGTTGCTCGTATTGTTCCAGCTTTGGCTGGAGCTCTTTCAGCTTGGCTCCTGTATGCCTCTGACATGCTCCCATCCTTTTGTTTTTCTTAAGCATGTCCTTCCTTTCTGGTACTACAAAGTGCTCCAGGCTCATCTTAGATTTTCCCTGCTCCAGCCCTAGAATCAGTCATTTCTCCAAGGAACCCTGGTTTCTTTTCTTGGTGAATGGTATTTCAAAATCAGGACTTGGACTCCGGGTGTGCCTGTTGCTCCTGCAGTACCATTGCTTCTAGGCCCTCTTAGCAGATAGAGCTAGGAAATGTCTGGATGTATACTAACCCACAGATATGCACATATCTATCATTGTTTCCGTATCTCTCCTGCTGTGTCTGTGTTAAGCTAAACGTGCTCACACTGATGTCTTTGACTCTAATCCATTTCTGCAAGGTTCATTTCAGCCTCTTCCCCCTTGCTTATCTGTAATGTCCCTTTCCACCAGCAAGAAGCCTGCCTCCAGCCATCGCCTTATTTATCTGCCTCCAGTATGTGTGTAGATAGTTTCAGAATTATTAACCTTTATCCTCAGGAGAAAAAGCTTCATCAACTGGAGTACAGTGTTGGTGTGCAGTTATTTTTGTCTTTTTGCCATAAGGTTTCCAGTCAAAACACTGTTTTCCAAAGTTACATGTAAGCTGCTCCCCCCCCCCCCAGAAGCCTGCCTCCAGCCATCGCCTTATTTATCTGCCTCCAGTATGTGTGTAGATAGTTTCAGAATTATTAACCTTTATCCTCAGGAGAAAAAGCTTCATCAACTGGAGTACAGTGTTGGTGTGCAGTTATTTTTGTCTTTTTGCCATAAGGTTTCCAGTCAAAACACTGTTTTCCAAAGTTACATGTAAGCTGCCCCCCCCCCCCCAACTCCTTTCAGTGGTGTGATGCCCTATATTTGTAGTGCAGTTAAAATCTTTTGTCTCAGTCTGCATTTCATCCTGGCATCCCTGGTTGATTGTCTGACTTTTTAAAGTGACAGTTTATGAACTTTTTCATGTTACTGTATTATTTTCATTTTTATTATTTTGACTGGCTACCTTATATTGATAATGTGCCACAATTAATATGAAACCTCCTTTATCAGAATATAGATTGTTTACAGTTTTTCAGCATTGTGAGTTCCCAACAAGAAACATCTTTTTATGAACCACTTTCTGTTTTTCTTTTGAATTATTTTTTTAGAGTAATTCTTAGAAATGGAATTACCGGGTCAAAAGATAAACATATTTTGGTAATTCCTTTTTTGCCAGATTGTCTGGTTTAAAAATGCTATCTACTATATATAAATTTTCCAAAATCTTTTGGGTTGTATAACTTAAAAATAAATAAATAAAAACCTTTTGACCATTTTAATAAACACAAGGTGCTACTTGATTATGGCTATAAAATTCACTTCCTTAGTTACTAGCAAGTTTAATTGTGCCCATCTTTACATATACTGTTTATGTTTTTGAGGACTGTATTGTGAAGGAAAAGAGGAGGATTATGATATCTGTGCTGGAGCAAAATTCTGAATTCTCCTAGGCAACTTTTTGCCATTTTGGAACTATCAAATTTAGAGAAAGTCTAGTATGGCATTACCAAGTTTCCTTTTGGTACAGATTAGTGTTTTTCTTTGGCTTCTACTGTGTCAGAAAATGGAAAATTATAATGGTGACAGTCCCAAATTCACTTGCCACCTATTATTACTAGTTTAAAAAGAAGTGTAATCTCAGTTTCTGGAAGCTCATAATGTGCCCAGTTTGAAAGTCTGTGCTCCTTGAGAAACTTTTACCTGTTTGATTTCCTGCAGTAAGTGGCACAGCACCTTGTACTTAGTAGGTACCAAGTAAGTGTTGGAGGTGCAGTGAGACTGTGCAGTCGAGACTCACACTCTGGATCCAGACTGCTGGGTTGAGTCCTGGTTCTCCTGCTTACTAACCATGTGACTTTGCATAACGTACTTAACTGTACCTGTTTTCTCATCTGTAAGAGGGCTGACTACATATCTTATTGGGTCATTGTGAGGATTAAATGGGCTAGCATATCTTAAAGCACTTAGAATAACGTCTGGCATGTGCTAAGCACTCTGTTACAGTAGTCCCCACTTATCCATGGGGCATATGTTTCAAGACCTCCCAGTGGACCCTCCATGGTATGCCCCCATGGATAGTACCAAACCGTATACAGTATATACTTTCACCTTTCACTTAAAGGAAGTAGTTTTCGGCTTTTCTTTGGCATATGCAAATTGCCAGCATCACTACTTTTGTGCTTTGGGGCCATTATGAAGTAAAATAAGGGTGACTTGAACACAAGCACTGAGATAACTTGACAGGCTATTAAGTGACTCTGGTGGGTGGCAGAGAGAGCCTGGAGGCACTGGACTAAGGGATGACTCACATCCTGGACGGGAGGGAGCAGACTGCACAAGATTTCATCGTGCCACTCAGAATGGCATGCAATTTCAAACTTAAATTGTTTATTTCTGGAATTTTCCACTTGATATTTTCAGACTGCAGTTGACCGCAACTAACTGAAACCATGGAAACTGAAACTATCGATGAGAGGGCACTTCTATAATTGTGTGTTGAATTCAGTTGAATTCAGCCCAAGCCTTGAAGGGCGTAGATATTCAGCAGTGTTCTTTCCTAGATTGCTTTGTCTTTTTTGTTGTTGTTGCTTTTTTTTTTTTTTTTTAATGTTTTCTGTTTATTTTATGATGACTGGCCAGTATGGGGATCTGAACCCTTGACCTTGGTGTTATAACACCACGCTGTAACCAGCTGAACTAACTGGCCAGCCTGGCTTCTTCGATTTTGAAATCCATAGAAAAATCTCACCTGTCTAGAGGTTTCTTATCCCATTAACATAAATGGCACAAAGCTGATAGTCAAAATTTTGACCTTTACATATTGAAAATCCCTTAGACCCTCCATGCTTCCTTACTCTGTATGCATGGTCCTAAGCTGGGTGATTATTTTTAATATTACAAATAGCAAAACAGGAAGAGGAGATCGCGTTAGGAATAGTTACAGCCACAGGTCGTAGAAAGAGATATTGGGACATAGCCTGACATCAAGGACCAAGAAACTATATAGTTTCATAAGAACTCTATAAGCACCATAGTCTGGGACCAATTTTTTTTTTTAAATAGCTTAGAGTTTTTATTAAAACAATCATTTAAATTATAATAGTCCCCCAGAACAGAAAATTGCCTTCCAAGGTCTGGCCCTGACAGGAGGCAGCAATCAGGTTCCACAGGCAGGAGTGCCTTTTGACATCTTTGAAAACAGATGGTGCTTCCCTGGGAGCCCACAGGGGCCGATTTGGCCCCAGGGAGACTAGGAGAGGCTCTGTCCCCACTAAGGCTGCTCCCTCCAGGGGCTGCAAGACTCCAGCTCTGTCAATGAGGAACACTTAGTGACCATTGTTGGTTGTCAGCCTCTGGACTTTTGGTGGGGGTGGGGGGTCGGGGGGAGGAGGGAGAGAGAATTGTTCCCAAGATTACAAAACACAGTCACTCAAGAAGTGTCATGCAACACTATAGGCTGTTATCTAGGGGACTGGCAGGTACATGAATGATTGATTGGACACCATTGGTCAGAGTGCTGCTTTGGTTGAAGTGGAGCCTTAGGAGGAACAAGGTGGTCTGTGCCCAAACATCTACAGGCCAGTAGTTCGGCCTCATGGAGAGTCCTGAGCTGGGGAGTGACTTCACGAACGGTTTCTGCCTGAAAGCCATCAGAAGCACCCGTAATGAAATTGTCACAGCCAGGGCTCTGCTCTCAGTGGACTTCAGAGACTTCCTTCTGGGGCTAGTATTTAGAGCTTGGCTTTAAGCATGGATTCATCTTTCAGCTTTGTCACTGACTAGATATGGGGGACCTTGGCCTCATTAAAATAATTAACCTCACTAAGCTTCAGTTTCTTTATTGGTAAAATGAGGATTATACTGTCCATTTCATATGGCTATTAATACTTGGCACTTGGTGGGTACTCAAAAAGTGGTAGCCTTTTTTTTTAAATTATTCATTTTGATTTTATTTAGTGTAGGGTCAACCAGTTTCTGTATATTTTATCACTATCACTATATTATAGCCTAGTGTAAGGGCATTATTTTACTAAGAATTTTAATTCAGAACCCTCTATTTAAATGGTCAGGGAAATACATAGGATGAGATATGTCTTTAAAGTAGTGACAGGCCCAAAGCACCTATTTTTTGGTCAAAATTTATGTATTTGAGAGATTCCCATTTAAAATATTAAAATGAAAAAAGTTTTAGAAACATAATGGAATAAACTTAATTTATCTCAGACATTTAGTTAGGTAGACTATTTCATTCCCAGACAGATGTTTCTGTAATTCCATGCCTAGTAGAAGCCAGTGCTGAATTGATTTCCACTCACTGTTGCCACTGAGATATTTTTGTTCTTTTGGAATCACTCTGCTTATTCATCTTTGATTTTGATAGAGATTTCCGTAGAGAAAAATAATCAGTGTTATTTCTGTATTATTTTTCCCTTATGGTGAATGGTTGAGATGTAACACAACAAGAGCTTTTATCCTGATGAATGCTGAAGATTGATGACCTACCAGATGTTTAAGACCCAAAACTACAAGTTGTCTCTTTGAAAGGAGGGTCGTAGGGACCTCAGCCAGGAAGACTGCCAGTTGTCAAAAATGGGCACCATTCCCCCACAAGGTTTCTAGAAGTAAGAGTGAGAAGACAGTCAACAAAATTACTCAGACATGCCGTTAATATTTTGGCTGCTCTCTTTCATACCCTGTTTGTTTTCACTTGCTATATACCAGTATTTTCCATATTACTGCCTTCTTTTAAATAAACATTCCCATAATGGACACAGTAAATTTACCTGATTTTTGAATATCCTGTAGTACAGTTGAAGAGTCCCTGCTTGCAATAAAATCATGCCTGGTAACTAAGGCAGCACATGCCCTTTGAGTGCTCTAGTATTAGTAAATGACAAGGCAGTGGACCATTTGGCTTACTTTTGTGTTTCAGGGAGAGAAGATAGAAGACATTCCAAAGGAGGTGCTCATGGACTGTGCCCACCTTGTAAAGGCCAATAGCATTCAAGGTCAGTCTTCCCAGAGGCGTTTTCAGATGGTCACTGGCTTTCTGCACGTCTGAAATGGGTCAACTTTTAGAGAATGTGCTGTTGACTTTGGCCTGTGTCATAGGAATAACATGCACTGTGCCTTTCCCTGTTTTGTTCTTTAAGGTGATGGCAGTTTTGCTGCCTAACAAGGAACTAAAAGCTAATCTACCCACCCCTCTCATTTTCATGGTCCTATGTGAGTCTCAGTTCTTTTTATTGTTTTTCTTTCCTTAAATAGAAGGTTGTCTAGATCTGCCTACCCTTAGAAGGTTATTTGGAAGAAAAAAAAAAAAAAAGACTTGGAAATTTGGTAATGTTGATACCTAAGCAAGAGAGATATGTCTGATGACTTTATTTTTTAATGTTCTGTGATTTCTTTATTTTTATCATTTGTCGAGATTCTGGAACAAGACTCTTTAAATCATGCTTTCTTTCCTCTCTTCCCCCCTTATATGCACCCTTTTTTTCTCCCTTTAAATTGTAAAGGTATCCAGTCAGTTGATCTTGCTACCCCCTGACAATCTTATTTAATTGGCCTGGGGTGATCCCTGAGTATCGCTTTAAAAAAAAAAAAAAAAAAAAAGCTTTCCAGGTAATTCTAATGTGCAGCATGGGTTGAGAACAATTGGCCCATGTGTCTTAGGTAGGGCCTAGAATCTGTGCTTGATGTTTGTTTACTTTTACTGTAGAGGATTTAATCTAATAGTAAAGATCAAAAAGGATGATTATTGGGATGGGAGTGGTGGTTAAGACAAGGGGCCAGGAGATGGTGTTCTACTAAGAATGATTTAGCTAATAGATCGGATTTTAGGTGTCGGACTTAGACCTAGATAGGGTAGAGGTAATTTCGGTTTGATATGAAGCTGGGGGATAATCCAGAGAGTTGGAAGGAAATATGTTTTGGGTAGAAGATAAACAGGGCAGACACACAGGTTCCAGGAATTGGTGATTATGGAACAGGAGCTAGGTGGTGTACCCGTTTTCCTGTCACTTAGACTGTGTGTTTCTCGAGTCTTAACTCTGGCATCCTTAATAACAAACCAGGTACCTAGCCAAAGACAGGGGAATCTTGTCTTATAGGAGCTACTGATTTTTCAACTACATAAATCAACACACTGTAATGAGTTTTAGGACATTCCATTTTATGGGTAGAACAGACTTTTCTAAGATTTTCAGTGAAGATCCTCAGTTATTGAAGTAAAATAATAAAATAGTCCTCATCCTCTTTTCTTCCTCGTTCAACCTCCTTCACACATTCCTGTCCCTTCCCACACCCTGGCTAGCAGGTGCGCCTTTGCTGAAAGAGCTTTGGGCTCCTTTTCTTGTCCCAGCCTCTGTCTTCTGAGTTTCTATAGAGTTTACGGGTTCTAGAGAGAACAGAAAGAGGAGGGAGGCGTCATGACACTGAATTACTATTTTCTCTCCTCTCTAGCCTTCCATGGTGATAGCTCACCTAACAGAGTAGGAGCTAAGCCCCAGGTTTTGCTCTCATAAGTCCATAGCAGAAGATACTGCTGAGGAGTGAAGAAAGTGGTCTTTGCTGTGAGATTTGCAAAGGATGCTCCACTTGTGACACAGTGTACTTATAAAATTTCCCTCCCTGTTTGACCACCTACAAGAACCAAAGGAGTTAGGTAGAACTTGTTTGTAGAATCAGCCTGTTCTGGGTCATAGATCTAGAATTGCAGGTCAGCCTGTTCTGTGTTCATTCGATGAATCTTGCCACATTAAACTTTCTAAAGCCTTAGACACTTTCTGTGACTCCCCTTCATCTATATCAGTCAGTCCTGACTTCTCAAGCTGGCCTTTGAGCGTTTCTGATCTTACTGCAGACTTTGTATACCCCACTCCAGCCACAGTAGATACATGCTGTCCTCCGCCTTGCTCTTTTGCTTGCATTGTTCCCTCTGCCCTCAGTGCTGTTTTCCTCCATCACCGCATGTCCAGACCCACGCCACGGCTCGAGGTCCACGCAGTAGTTGTGATAGCAGTAATCGCTGACATTGATGGAGCATTAGTTACATGCCTGGCCCTGTGCTGACAACTTTACAAATTACTTCATTTCTCAACCCTATTTTCATTTTATAGCTGAGGAAACTGAGCTTAAAGAGAAGTAAGGAACTTTCCCAAGGTCTCAACTCCAAAGTGTAGTCGAGGCTGGATTTGAAGTCAGACCGTGTGACTCTGAAGTCTTCTGTCTTAATACTGAGCCCTGTTAATCTCTCCTGTGAAGCCTTTCCCTGCTCCAGCTTCCTGGGGTTCCACCTTTGCTCTCCCTTCACATTTTACCTGTACCTTTCCAGCAGCATTTGGCGAGTTCTCCCCCTGAAGCTGTTTGTATGTTATCTCTTCTTCTTTAAGGTCTGGGAAGGCATTTGTATTTGCATTCCCTGGCCTGTGTTTGTATTCCCCACTGTGTTTTGCATGTGGAGATTTTTTTTTAAAACTTTCATTTTGAAAAAAGCAACTTTCAAACCTATAGAAAAGTTGTAAGAAAAATACAACTTCCATATGCCATTTACTTAGATTCATTCACTAATTTTTAAATTTTTAAATATTTATTTGCTTTCTCTCTGCATATAGCATATTCATTATTAACTTCTTTTTTCATTATTAACTTTTTTAGCTGAACTATCTGAAAGAAAATTGTGGATATCATGACTCTTCAATATGTATCTCTTAAGAACAAAGACATTGTCTTAAGTAACTGCATTATAGTAGTCAAATCAGGAAATTTAACATGGTAGGAATACTCTCGTATACTCCATATTTATGTTTTTCCAAATTGTCCCACTACTGTCTCTTTATAGCTTTTTTTACCCTGATCCAGTATCATGCATTTTTTTTTTTACTTTTCATGTCTCTTTAGCTCCTTTAATCTGGAGAACATGGACACTTTCAGAGTAGGGATTACTTGTAGAGTATATTCCACAGTTTGGGTCTGTCTGAGAGTAGGGATTACTTGTAGAGTATATTCCACAGTTTGGGTCTGTCTGATGCTTCCTCTTGGAATCACATTATGGATATTTTGGCAGGAATACTACATAAGTGAAGTTTTGCAGAGTACAGTCAGGCAGCATAGGTGTCATTTTGCCCTGTTTTGGGTGATGTTCCCTTTGATTCTTGGGTAAGGAGGTGCTCACAAACTTTCTGCAGCGCACTTGGGATTTAATGAACATTGAAATCTGTTGCCATCTGATTTGGAATGTTAGTAGGGTGCGTCAGAGTGGTGATTCAGCTATGATTCTCAGAACTACCTGGGAGGCCGTTAGGGGTACAGGGGAAACATGGTGGAGCTGTTGCTTTGGGGGATGGGAACAGGAGGGAACAGGGTACCTGGCATGCCTTTCATCTAGAGCATCTCTGCTTTGATAATGTCTGTATGTTTTCTTTGGTATAAGGGTTCCATTGCTGAAAGAAACGAGCAAAAACCCTGCTAATCTAGTCCAATTTCCTTATATTTCAGGTGATATTCAGGGCCATGGGGACTTTTCCACAGTGACACAGTTAGTTTGTGGTAGTGCAGGACAGAGTCTAGATCTATGGGATCTCAGCCCATGGCTTTGTATCACTGCTTAACTTTTATTGAATCAGGGACTCCTTTGAGAATCTGAGGAAACCTGTGGGGGGTCCTTTTTTCTTGAAAAAACACATATGATAAGTTTTGCATTCAATTTTAGGGAGTTCTCAGAAGTCCCTGATTGTGGGTAGTTCTTGGAAAAATATTTTGTGGTTTGAGACAATGGATGGCTTTTCATCTAAGCTTTCTCCCTTGTTGGGTGATGGCGATCTGCCAGTGGGTGGGGGACATGTTGCTCAGCCTCATGCTGCCCGCATGTTAAAGACAGTCTCTCTTGGCAGGCTGCAAGATGAATACTGTTAATGTGGTGTACACACCTTGGTCCAACCTGAAGAAAACAGCTGACATGGACGTGGGGCAGACAGGCTTTCACAGGCAGAAGGATGTAAGTGACCTGCACCACCGTGGAGCGCAGTCCTGGTCCTGAGTGGACCGTCCATCTTTCTGTTGAGGGGCAAGCACGATATATGTTTCCTAAAGGGAATTAAACTGGGTTGCTGAATCCCTGGAAAGCCTTGCCCCTCTCCTGGGAGAAAAAAACAAACATAAAGATTCAATATATCTTCCTCTTTCTCCCTCTAAGGTAAAAATTGTGACAGTGGAAAAGAAGGTGAATGAGATCCTGAACCGATTAGAAAAGACTAAAACAGAGCGGTTCCCCGACCTGGCAGCAGAGAAGGAATGCAGAGACCGTGAAGAGAGGAATGAGAAGAAAGCCCAGATTCAGGAAATGAAAAGGAGAGAAAAGGAAGAAATGAAGAAGAAGCGGGAAATGGATGAACTGAGGTATACAGGCGCCATGGTGCTGATGCTCACCTCCAAGGTTATTCCCCGCTGATGTTAATCATGCATTAACCCTTCAAGATGATGTATTGGTGGAAGGAGGGACTACAGCAAGCTCATGGCCTTCAATGAGTTTTTTAAAAAGGCATTTATATTAGTGTGTTACTCAAATGAATTGCTCTTTTGGGCCGGACTGTGGCTCACTCGGGAGAGTGTGGTGCTGATAACACCAAGGCCGCGGGTTCGGATCCCTATATAGGATGGCTGGTTAGCTCACTTGGGAGAGCGTGGTGCTGACAACACCAAGTCAAGGGTTAAGATCCCCTTACCGGTCATCTTTAAAAAAAAAAAAAGGTTCTTTTATAGGGACAGGATATGAGAGTGTGAAATAAAATAACATTTTATTCTTAGACAAACCATCATAGGTTATCTTTAGAGTTTGGTTTGTAAAGTTCTTCAGGAAAGGAAAAGGTACTGTAATAAATATTCAATATTGACCACCTATGCTATTTGAGTAAAGTTGTCTTGTCTCTGAAGGCCAATGCTAGTAACTCTCAAAGCTGTTTTCAAGACCCTTTTTCTACATTTTGAAAGTTTAAAGTGATTAATGTAATGAAGCCTTCTTCAGAGCACTACATGTTTACATAATAAGTAGTTAATATACAGTTTGGCTCCTTAAGTTTAGGTGAATAAGGCATGAGAATACCAGCTGTGTTTTTCTATTGCTGCTGTAACAAATTGCCACAGATTAGTGGCTTAAAACGACACAGATTTGTTATTTTATAGTTCTTTGGCTTAGAAGTCCAACAAGGTTTCTCAGTGGGCTAAAATCAAAGTTGTAAGCAGGCTGTGTTCATTTCCGGAAGCTCCAGGAGGGACTCCCTGTCCTTTTCCATCTTCTAGAGGCTACCCACGCTCCTTGGCTTGTGGCCTCTCCTACTGTCTTCGAAGCCCTCAGCATTGCATCCCATGGTCACAGCCCCCTCTGACCACTGCCTTCTCTGCTGTTCAGGAGCAATGTGATCAGACTGGGCCTGCCCAGACAATCCACAGTAAGGTCCTTAACGTCACCACATCTGCAAAGGTTCTAGAGATCAGGATGGAGGTGGACATTTTCGGGTGCAGGGCAAGGGGCATTGTTCTGCCTACCACACTGAATCCGTATAAATATATAGTACTGTACCTGAAGAGGCCCCTAGTTTTTCTTCACTAAAGGAAGTGAATCCCGCGACTTTTAGTCACAACTCCTAGATTTTTCCATGATTTTCCATAGGTATCATTTGTGATAAGTATACCAAAAAGAAAAAAAAAAAGGTATTGATAACATATTGCCTTTATATAGAATCAAAAACAAGCTGTCTTGCCACGTCCTGACCCAGTTTCCTTGGAATACCCTGGTTTCTTAGAGAGATTGTTGGGTGAAGTTGTAGGTGTTAATCTCATGTGCTATAATTTGTTATTCATGTGTATGAGTCTCCAGAGGGGCTTCTACTAAACAGGATGAGTAGCTTCATTTAATTCTTTTTTATTATTATTATTTACTGTAGCTTAATTTAAAATGTTATATTCAGATGTAAAGCTCTGGAAATATTATCCTGAGTTATAATCCGCTAACAGGAGACAGACTAATGCGTGGATTTAAATATTTGATATGGCCTAGAATTGTGAGTCTGCTTTGTGTCATGAGCGAAAGAAAAATCAGCTTCACCAGTGTGGTCAAACTTGTGGAATTCAGAGTGCTGCAGGATTTAGGGCAGTTAATTCTTGTTTGTTTTTAGTTCAGAGTAGGGGAAAATTGAAAACATGTCTTTCTGTGTCCTTTACAGGTCTAACACGGTTATATTTAGAAACATGATGTTATATGTTAGGAATATAATATCACTTAATTTAGTTATAACATTTAATAAGGAAGAATAGCTAACATTTTTGAATATTTACCATCTGCCAAACATTGGACTTGAAAGTGTTTTACAGCTTTATCTCATTTAATCCTAGCCATAGCCATATCAGGTAGATATTTTTATTATCTGCATTTTATAAAAGAGGCAGCTGTGCCTGAGAAACAGTTCAGTAACTTGCTCAAGGTCATGTAGTCAGTCTCACTCTGATTCTTAAACTCATACTCATTATAGTGCTCCTCTTCCCTCAGTTCAGTCCATTCCATTTTAAAGTAGTATTTATTCAATATAAATCAATCAGAGTAATTTAAAGATGTCATAACTTACCTTAAGATATATTACATTTTCTTGAAAATTAAGCTGTACAAGCATACTACTAAAATTTAGGGCATTTAGTATGATTTTACTAGTTTTTTTTTTGTTTTTTTTTTTTAATTTTACTAGTTTTTAAAGTTGCAGGTATTTAAACAAAAGAACCCATCAACTGAAACACAGTTTTCATATCTTCTGGGCTTTCTTTTAGTGTCAGCAACATATAAAATATTTATATAAACTGAGGGGGATGGGCCGGCCTGTGGCTCACTCGGGAGAGTTCGGTGCTGATAACACCAAGGCCACGGGTTCGGATCCTATATAGGGATGGCTGGTTGGCTCACTAGCTGAGCGTGGTGTTAACAACACCAAGCCAAGGGTTGAGATCCCCTTACCGGTCATCTTTTAAAAAAAAAAAAAAAAAACTGAGGGGGAAAAATTCTCAATGTAATTGAAAAAAATTTTTGCTTCAAAAGTTGATTTAATCAGTCTTATTTTCTAAGCTGTCGCTAGTTACTTGTATTTTTTAATAATCATCATGAGCCTCAGAAAAAACAAAAACAATTGGTGTATTTATTTCTGTTAAAATTTGCCCCACAGCTTTCTGTTCTGTGATGCAGAGAGGAGGACTGAATGGGCTGCAAAGGAGGGGTAGGGGGTGAGCAGCAAGTCTGTCTGGCCCATCCAGAGCTGCTGTCTGCACGCTGTCACCTGCAGCTTTTGCAGAATCCCAACAGGCTTTAAGCCTGTTTTGTCTTGTAATCTGTTTTTACACATTTGTAGTGCTAGCATCCCTTTAATTTCTGTCTTTGAATCTTCTACCTGAGATCAAATTCTGTACCTGTTACCTGCTTTATTTTAATCTTGTATTCTCTGATTTGGCTTTTTGTGGCATTATTTATTAAACATTTATTAAAATCTAGATCAAGTCCACCATGTAGATGTTGAAACCAGAAGAAACAAGCAGTGATCAGGGAAACACAGTTGTTAAAGGATGAGTGAGTAACAGATCAGAGGTTGAGGCAGTGAAGACCAAGGGTAGGGACTCTGGTACCTGAGATAGGGATGTTTAAAACTTGGGAGTCTTGGAGTTCAGAATTGGAACCCAAGGCTCAGATAATTGACGTGAGAGAAATATGAGACCCAGGTAAAATGGTAAGTCACAGGTAAATGTATCATCATTTTGAACATTGACATGAACTTGGGTTTCAGGCAAAGACTACTTCAGCAAAGAGGTTAATGTATGAAAGGTTACAGCTTATAAGCAGTGGCAGAGAAGAAATTTAAACTTAAGGTGGTAATTCTGCACCATGCTGCCTTTGAGGCAAGGAAGAACAGGTTGGCAAGGCCAGAGTCAAGGTCATACACAGGCAAATAAAAGAATGAAAAATTAGGCACATTGTAGAGTGACTTAATAAAAGATTTTGTGTAGTCCGTAATTTCATGTTGTAAGTGATAAGGAGCCTTTATAGGTTTGCTGGGATGTTGGGAAGTAGACTTACAGGATGAGTTTAGTAGTGACAGGTAGAAGAGATAACGAAGAGGCCACTGGTTAAAAGGATGATAAAGTCTCACCAAGAAATGACTGCTTTGATTGTACCTCCTTTTGTTTATCTCACACGCCTCCACTGCCTTCTGCTACAAATTATGTTCTGCATGCCATGCTGCTTCATGCTAATTATAACCTCCTTCAAAAAGCACTAGTGCATCCCAGCATCCCCTATATATGACACAGGGCTTTGCATGTGCAGTTAGTGATTAGTTTGTAACGAATGAATGAGTGACTGAGATTAGCTTCCCTGATACAGTGATTCTTGAAGCTGAGATCAAAGCTCTATTAGCTAGTTAAAAAGGGCAGGAAAGAGAGCTCTAAGCAGAGGGAACTATGTATGCAAAGACCCTGTGTAGGAGGCAGCAAGGCAGAACACCAGACTGAAATCCCACACATCTGGAGCAGTTGCAGTGAGACAGCACATGGGTCAAAGGGCCAGTCCCTGCCAGGCCTGGTTGGCCACCTTTGTCTTCGTCAAAGGTGGCACTGTGAAGTCATGGAAGGTTTGAAGCCAGGGGTAGTACAATGAAGTTGTGTTTGGGGAAGGTCACTTTGTGGACCTGATTGTAAAGGGAACCACAGTGAGTGTGAGTAGGCCAGTTAAGAAACCGTCGACAGGGCTGGCTGGTTAGCTCAGTTAGAGCACAGTGTAAGGTCAGGGGTTCAGATCCCCATACTGGCCAGCCGCCAAAAAAAAAAAAAGCTGTTGACAGTTGTCCACATCACAGGTGGCGGCAGCTTGAACTATGGTGGTGACATGGAGGTGGAGAGATTTTGTAGGTAAAATGATAGGATGTGATAATAGATTGGAGTGAGAGGAAGGGCAGGGAAAAAGAGGCCTGGGTTTCTGGTTTGAGATGGAACCGATGGCGATGCCGCTCTTTGAGCTAGGGGACAACGGAAAATGAACCAGACTCTTTTTGGTAGGGGGGTAGACCATGTGTTAGATATGGACATAAGAATCTGAAAATGCCTTTAAGATATCCAAAAATATGTCAGAGAGGCAGTTGGATTAAAGGGATTGAGTTCAGAGGAAACATGTGGCCTAAAGAAAGGTGTGTCTGCGAGGGATTCCCTGCCAACTCTGGCCATGCTCATGCGTTTCTTCCTTTGAGTTGCTGCAGCATTGACAGTGTGGGCTGTATGCTTAGCTATGAGTCTGTGTTGGCTGTAGGTGAATTTCCTCATCTGAAAAACAGGAATAATGCCACCTAGCTCAGAAGGTTACTGTGGAGGTGACACGAAACGAGAATGAGAGAGCACTTTGTAAACTGTAAAGTGCTGTGCACATCTTATTTATTGTTCGTTTATCCTTTTAAATGTTGCAATCTCTTTGAGGGCAGCTCTTGTGTTTCTTCTAAAGCCCCTCAGTAGTGCTAGATACACGGTAAATGTTTATGAAGTACTTCTGGTTGGGTAACCTCATTTTAAATGTGTTTTTTTTTCCTTCTAGGAGCTATTCATCACTAATGAAAGTTGAGAATATGTCTTCAAATCAGGTATGTTCAAGTTATTTAATGTTGTGCCTTTAAATAATCCACTAAGTTTTTAATAGTTGAGTTACTGGCCATTGTGATTTATATGTTGCAAATCTCTTACTGGGATCTGGCAGCTAATAAGCTTGACTGGGTTCTGTTGGCCTTTGCCTGCCTGCCTTGTGGACTTGGTCATATGTTTAACTAGATCACCTCAGGGTAAGAGATTGTCATACTTTGTCTACTGTGAAGTGCAGGTCCGTTAGTATTTACAGGACTTTCATCCATTCCTTTTTTCTCTAGGTATACAAAAGTGCTTTTAATTATTGTCATATTAATGTGACTATAGATTCTATATTATAATTGTGTGAGAACAAAATTATTACCTTCATTTAAAATAAAAGTACTAACTGTAGCCTGTGTGACAAAATTGGTTGTTTTTGTGTTCCTCAGGACTTAGAATAAAGAAAAGTCATGACCCATAGCATAGCATAGAAAGGATCTTTTTAACATCCACATCTAATTATTTTATTGGAACTATGTGAGAGACTTATTGCAAAAATTGTCCAAATAAAGTCTTGGATCTTGGATATGTATTTAAAAGTTCCTGTAATCTCAAACCACAGGCCTCCCACACATGAGAACTGTGCAAATCTAACTCACAGCCTTTATGAGTGATGCATTTTCATTGTCACAGACCCAAATTACATTACTAAATTGTTTGTCCACAGTGTTTGGGATCTAAAACTGATATTTAAAGATATATGATGACTCTTTTCAAATGTCACTAATGCTAATATTTCAATTTGTGACTCTAGGGCAGTCCTGGTTTCTGGATATAAAACAAATATGTGTCTCCTCTTTGTACAGTTAATCTAAGGCATTTTTACTGTGGTCTCATTTCCTTGTGCTAATGGAAGAGAAGCACAAAGAGGGCCACTGAGTGAAACTGGAGGTACAGCCAGACTTCACAGAAACTGTTGCTTTCCACTCATATCTCATATCTCCCTATCATCTTTAATAAGGGCTAAGGGAGAAGAAAAGCATATCTAAGCCTAAGTCCTGTTCCTTTTTCTAACAACGTTGGGGTCCAGCAGATGTACCAGAACATATACTATTAGTGAATGTTGGCAAAAAAGGAATCTGGAGCTCTACCTTTCTGCATGGTCTGCAGGACTTGTTATATACCACACAATAACATCAGTCCCTTTATGCTGTGTACCATCATGTAAGGTTTTTTAAATCAAAACTTGGTAGGCCAGTTAACTTGGTTACTAGCGTATATGACTTTCTAATAACTTTTCCTATTAAAAAAAAATCAAAGAAATCAGAAATTTATGACACCCTAGAGACTTAAAATACTGGAATTTAAGTCAGAAATATTTTACATAGTGGCAGCATTGTTGGTGTAAGAGTAGTGAGGCAGGGTTCATTTGGTGTATTTGTTGAAGGATCTCATAGTCACACTTGTTACATCCTATACTGGGTCAGGTGGGCCTTCATAATGTGGAAATCGTTGGTCACTTGTCACTGTGTAATCAGACAGTGTAATGACAGCATAGAGAAAATAGCCAGTAATCCAGCTGTTCCAGGTGCTGACAACTTAAGATGGAGAATAGGTGATGAGGGGATTTAGTTATTTCGCTTTTTACTTTCTAAACTCTGAGATTAGGAATGAGAAGGAGGCTTGTTTATAGACTATAGATCGAGATTATGATTGTGAAGTTAAAATATTGAGTTATTTATTTTCCAGGCTTTTATGGTTTCACTTTTTTGTTTCCTACAGGACGGCAACGATTCAGATGAATTCATGTAAAAGGAGAAAAGGACATTTGAAAGATGCAATGTAGAGACAGTTGCAGATCTTTTGATTTCATCTGTGTTCTGAATTATAAAAACAACCAAAATTCTACCTATTCTACCTTCATTCTGCACAGATGTTATTAATTCTGGAGATTTAAAAAAATTGTTCCTTTTTTTGCTGACAGAAAAGGATCAGCTAGCCATGTATCGTATAGTTGAACTTGAGGTCAGTGTATTATTTTAGGAAAGTGGAAATCTTTTTGCCAGAACATGTCTTGGTACCTCAAGTGAGCTGGCTGCCCTTCTCCTTGAGATAGACTTCAGAATGAACCAAAAGTATTCCTGTTGCTGTGGTCTGTCCCTGAGAACAGATGTCTTGAAATGCTTTTCATATTCTTAAAATATCTTCACTTCTGTTAAGAAGAATGTTTTGGTGGGCAGTATACATGAATACTCCCCCATCCTGATTTTCTGATTAGAAGAAAAAGCATATGGGTTTTGAAGATGAGAGTGTTATTTTTTGGAAGATTGCTAGCTTCAGTACTCACGTTGCACTGTGTCGTGTGAGGCTGTTAACCTAGTGCTCTCCATTCTCCGCTTGTCCCAGCTTCTGCGTCCTTGCTGTCTTGGAGTGGGGGCCTCCGTTTTTAGTATCATCATATTTAAAGAAATAGTTGGTGTTAATCAAGGTTGGGCTTTGTGGTAGTTCTTCCCTGAGCACCAAGTAAGCCAAGCCACGTATGTGACAACTTCCAAACTCTAGAGTCCTTTGTCAATACTGAGGGAGAAATAGGAAGGGGTACTCTGTGCATCATTTGGGAGACTTAGGTGACCTGATTTTTGTTTGGGGATACAGCGTGAAGCAGAAAGTCCACGTTGCAGTTATGATTTTAGAAAGAATTAAGCACTTCACTAGCCAGCCAAGTAATGTTTCCTTACCTTGAAATAGCATTTATTTTGAGTTGAAACCCCTGAGTTGAGGTTTCTTAATTGTGGACTCAGTAACTTAATATGTAGCATTATTGCTCTTTTGAACCACCTGCTATCCAGTGTGACTCTGAGTAGAAGATATGTTTTATTTTAGCATGTAGGGCAGTACTTATGGGAAGGAACAAGACAAAGCAATGAGAGAGAAAGAGCACAAAGCCACGGGATAGGAGGCACACACGTTCACACGTTAGCCGCACCCAGAACTCTGCATGCAGTGTTGTTCTTTACTGTATTCTAACCCAGCAAAAGTGATCTCCTTCAGCAGATATTCTACCTGTAATAGCACTTTGGAGCTGTGGGTAAAACCAAAAGACTAGTGTTTGTTTATACCAAATTTGTGTGTGGGGTTAAACTGGAAAATTCCCTGAGGCATGAATTGTTGGCCAGATTTTGAAGGGGTGTGTGTGGAAGATGACTCTAGAGATTGGTGATTTTGTGTGTCTGTGTCTAATGCTGTTCAACCTAGAGTTCTGAGATTTAAAAAACGATAATAAAGTATTGTTTTTTATCTGGAAGGACATTGATGTATGAATTCTTAGGATTTCCTTGTTATAAAAAGCCAGCCCACATCCCCAAGCTGGTTTGAGGGTGATCTTGCTGTAAAAACCCTCATTTATCATAAACCTGGCAGGCTCTATAGAAGTGTCATCCTGCTCTTCCACTGATAAGTGTCAGTTTCCCCCAGACGCCCTCTGGGTGGAAGTGGTGACCTTTCTCAGACCCACTCTAGGGTGGATATCAGTAGCTGTTCTTCAGTGGGATGGCCTCCTGCCTGGTGGCTGCAAGCGCTTCAGAACACCACACCTGTGTCACCTTGGCTTCTGCTCCTGCAGAAGTCCTCTGTGCAACATGTGTAGATAGAGCTTTTGAAGAATACATCTAATTTAACTGTTGTTTGAGCGATCCTGGGGTCCAAACATTTTATAACTCTAAGCTGACACTGGTTTAAAATGTCAAGGCCTGTCTTCTGAATTCTCTGAATTGAATTCCTAGCTCTTTAACCTCTGTACTGGTTCTGTGCTGATTTCTCCGTGCCTCTGCCTGTGTGTTTTATTTTTCTCCCAGCTCCCTTGGTCTCAGGGAAGGCAGGTCAAACTGTTGACATTGAAGTGGTCTCATTTCTTGCTATTGGCATGTTTCCTAAACATTCGATAGGAAATTGCAAATTGTTGCTATTTTTATGAGTTCTGTCCTTGATCAAATCCGTGCATCATGAGGCTTTCTCTGAATCTGAGTCACCTTGCCAACTGTCTCCGGTTTCACGCTCTGTTTGATCTTTATGCAGGTGAGGGTCACATTATCATTTAATTTACTTCACAAAGTCTGCTCTATTGTTATATTCTAATATCTTTAGATATCACACTCACCCACCTTCGTTTGTCTGGGGTCACGATCTTTGAGCAAGGCAGATTCGTCACAGCTTGTGCTGGGACAAATGTCAGGAAGTTTACAGAAATATCAAAGGTGTTTACACTAACAGAGTGTGTAAAAGGCTTTAGGTGAACCCCTTCAGTATCTTTGTGTTTTGTTTTTAACTCTCTGGAAGCATAGATTTCCATGAACCTTTTAACTGTTGGACGGTTCCCACCACTCAGGAAAAGCGGTGTGAGGCACACGTCCAGCAAGGTTATAGAGAGGGAGAGTCAGCTCCGCCCCCCAGTTTAAAGCTTTTCCTCCCTCCTTGCATCTAAACGAGAGGGGCTATCTTGTTTTCCGAGCTGGAATGCTCTATGGAGGATACTGAGCAGGTGGCAAAAGAGAAATGGGACAATTTTCCAGTTTCTCCTGAGCTGTGATGTCAAAGACTGGTCTTTCTTTGAAGTACAGCATGCAAATAACAAACTCCCACATTCAAGACAATCATTTTAGAGTGAGTGGGTGACCTTTTGATCTTAAAGTAAGCTGTAAACACAGACCCAACTAGAATCAAAAGTGTACAATTAGAACTTAAATTCCAAGCTCTATGTCAGTCTCAACCCACCCAACTCCAGTGAGTGTGTGGCAGCTCAGGAATGAGGACACGCTCAAGTTCACATTCAAATGACACTTGGTGTGAGCTCTTCTCTGCCGGGCACACGTGAGTCCAGTGCGGGCACGCAACTTCTACTGCAGTCCATTTCAGAACGAGACAGTGCCATCCACAGAGACGATAGGTCCCCCCTGAGTGGTCTGTAGAGTAAAAGCTGATAGTTTGAGTAGAACCATGTGCATTTGCAGGATTCCCTTTTTAGTTTTCTCCTCCAAGGCTCAGTCTCACTGATGGGATGTGCATATTTCTTTTAGGCGAGCAGGGAGAAAGAGGTTCTCGGCTACAGGGGATGATGCTGTTCAATCATTTCTGCTCCTTAGCAGGAGAGGAGCAAGTCAGAGTAAAGGGAAGATCATCCAAGGATTCCAAGAAGATGATTGAAGAACCCAGAACTAAAAGGCCATGGTAACTGAACATTAGCATTTGCAGTTTACAGTTTTGGCCCTCTGCCCCCCAAGATTCCTAAGGGTCTGCCTGAAATTTGGGCTGGAGTGAGGCTACAAACATGAAGAGTTCTGGGATGGTTTTATTGATGAATGCAGGGCTCTGGACTAGCGTTCTGTTTATAGATTTTTCACCCCTTCTGTGACAGCTTACTCCAGTGTTACTCAGAATGTTTCAGGGAGGTGCTGTTGTCAAGGGAGCCACACAGACATATAAGTTTTCCTCCCAACTGTGAAGGCATATTTGAATACTTAAATGTTTGTTAGAGGACATTTGGGTTATATTTCTCTCTAGTCAGGGCAACGCCTGTATCCTTTGGTTTTAACTGCCTTAGCTACTAGAATTATGGCTTTAAACATTTGAGTAAATTAATCCATATGGGGAATGGAGCTTGAAACCAGAATTTTCATACAGTAAAGTCTAGAGATCTGTGCATACACTGGGTGGACTCAGCAGTACAGTGAAAATACAAATACCTGTCTGACGCCATCTGTGAACGTGGTTCATCGTGAGACTGTACAGACCTCTGTTTCTCTCACTGATTGCTTAGTTTTGGCTTTCTGATTTCATGGTTGTATCAGTAATTGGAGGAACATCAGGCTTCCCACCTGAGTGGTTGCGACTGTAGGTCGGTGCCGTGGCCGGAGGGAACAGGAGGCGGCTCTGCCATGGGCACACACTGCTTGGCATCGGCTCAGTGTTTTCTGCCCTTGTCAGCAGCCAAGGAATGGCAGCCAGGGGAAATGACTGCTCACTCTAAACCCATGTGGCCTTGGCTAGTCCTCCAACCTGTGGAGTGGGTGTCAGTCTTTAAGGCTGGAGGAAAGAAGGAATTCTAAGTCAGTACTGCGTCTGTTTCCACCAAGTCTACCTTGTAGCACTGCGGCAAAAGCCTGAGGCTGCTGGCATGGTATTTCCCATCCTGCCTGGCTGTGGCCCGAGTGGCCCGGGCTCCCGCTGGTGTTTTGGTTGCCACCTCAGCAGTTTGCAAAGGGAAAGCTGGCGTTTGCTTGTGGTTTCAGAAGAGAACTGAATCTTTCAGGTGTTAAAGGCTGGTCTATCGGACTTGATACACTTGGTGAGGATGCGATCCATGGTCAGCAGGGTAAAACCACAGGCTGAAAAGGACAAAGAGAAAATACAGCAGAGGGGCCATGCAGTGCCTTTAACTGGCCTGCCATGCCAGAACTGTTCAGCTGTAAAGCCCTTAGCCTCAGCTGATGACATCCCTCCCAAACTCTGCAGTTTTAATTTTATGGTAAATGTGCTCAGCACTGATGAGCCTTGCGTGACTTTCTCCAACGCTAGAATTGCTTTTAGGAGCATCTTTGGAAAGAGTTGGAAGGTCCGAAATAGACAAAGCTTAATTTGATGACAAAACAGGCTTTATTGGTGCCTATGATGAGAAAATCTTGTCTGTTTTCAATAAGAAGGGGAAGGACGTGTATGTTCCTGTCCAGTTGCCCAAGGAAAGCTGCTCCCTGCCTGGTCCCTTTTTCGCTGTGACAGTGTTATACTTTGATGTTTAAAACCAGCAATTGATAGGCGCTTTTGCGACATCAATTAGTTAACAGAACAATAATAAATTACTTGAACTTTTCTTTTTCTACCTCACTAATATCAAGACAAGGCAGCCACTGATGAGAAGCTCGCGTATCAGGATTAAAGAGGATAAACACAGAAATTCTCCTCCCCTCAAGCCTCTGGGACCTCCTGGGCTTCAGGGTCAAGAAGAACTGTTACATTTTTTAAATGTACATGAATAAGTATGTGGGGTTCAGAATTCAAAAGGTATGAGAGGGTGTAGGGTCAAAGTGTGCCCAGTTCTTCTTGGGGGCAACCAGGGTTACCACTTTTTTTTGCCAAAGGCAGAAGCTCCTGATCTGGGCCTGACGAAGCTCAGGGATTCTGCCTGCTTCGTGGCCTGGAGGAAGCTGGCTCCACTAAAGAGGGAGGGGCAAGGGGCTTCTGTGTGCCTTTGACTCCTGGGGCATTTAATCCAAGAGAAAATAGCCTGAGTCTTCATGGACATCACATCTGGCAGCTGGGACTTAGGGGCAGATAATGAGTTCAGAAACAGAGAAACAAGAGGATTAGGAGTCCTTTGGTGTCCCTACCCACAAACCAACCTCTGCTGGGACACTGAGTTACAGATGGATTAGGTTGTCTCAGTATGCTTCTATGTTCCACCTAGAATCTGAGCTCAGTGAAGAATGGCCAAGACAGTAAGGGAGCCGCTTGCTTTCATCTGGCTTTGTGCTTGGGGGTGGGGAAGAAACAGGACTGGCCTCAGGCAGCTCCAGATACCTGTGTCGCAGCTCCCCTTTGATCCTCTCCTGAGGCCCAGCCTCCTACCTGCCGCCTCTTCTTGCCCAGTCAGGACAGAAGAAAGCTCTAGCAAGGGTGAGGGGAACATGAGCAGAAAACTGAAGGAAAAGGAGCCACATGTGTGTCCACCCCTGGACTTCACATTCAGGATCTGGATTTAAGGGTATAGCTCTGCTACCCTCTGTGTGATGTAAGATGAGTCACCTGTGCTCTCTGGGCCTCTATTGGCCCCTGGAAGATGAAGACTAGGTCCCAGTGCTAAGGGCCAGGCAGGCAAGAGACTCACACTGTGGGCAATGGGGACGCAGTGACCTGGAGAGTGCACAGCTCTTCTGAAGGGGCAGCTCAGCACTGCTGTGGAGAAACACAGCTGTAGAAGGGAAGCATTGAATAACGGGTGCATTGAAAGAGCTGAACTGGATAGGACAGGAAAGAGGAGATGGCTCTTTTCTCCCATTCGCTTTCTTCAATGTTCAGGTTTCTCTTCCCACCTTTTGATGACATCTTGGACAAACGGAGCAGATTCCCTGACTTTCTGATCACTTTTTTAATCTTATTTTTTTCATTGTACCTGTTTGTGGGTACAGCTTGTTGTTTTGGTACATGCAGAGATTATATAATGATCTAATCAGAACAGTGAGCATATCTCCCACCTAAACCCAATCACTTTCCAACACAAGAACAGTTTCATTTAAAAATGACAGCTCGGGCCAGCCCGG